GTTTATTGTGCTGAAAAAACTGTGAGGTTAGCAGCGTGAACCTCGTACATTTGCCATAAACTGTCATGTGCGTTTGAACATTACTATAGATATGATAGTGAGAGAGCTTTTTGGTACTTGAATAAACTTTCTTTGAACTTTCATACAAGTTTATTTTAACATATGTCCTTGTATGTTGTTTCACTATACAGACAAAACTAATTACCACTACCAGTGAATGTAATAGTTTACAGTACATGTGGTTTGAATAACACTGCCTGTCTCTAGTTACATGATACATCCTGTTACAAGAGATTACCAAAGGATACAAACACCATAAATTACAAAGAAAATTACTTTAAAGCACTTAAAAGATTAGTCCTGGTCACATTACTTCTACAATGCATATGTCAGGCAAAGGCCTTGATCACCCAATAAAATACATATGGTGATGAATCAAGCCCAAAAGACTAGACATGAAACTGATACACAACCCCGTAGTGGACAAACCAAAGATAACATCTGCACTGGTAAGAAATAGGAAAATGGAGATAAACATTTGAGATATTTACCATGGTCATTCAGTCCTGGAGAAAAAGTCCATCAGAGTGATAAAGGACAGATGGATCACAGGATGCCAGTCCCCTGATTGGTCTTGGGGACAACAAAAAGTCTGGAGTAAAAACATGGAGAAGGCTGGTTAACAGGCTCGATAGATGTCTGTGATAGAAGGGTCTGCACAGTCTTGGATAGATGCAGACTAGTAGCTGGATTCGGAGTTAATGGGAAGGAAATTGGAATAGGAGACAATGGTGATGGTGAAAGGAAATAGATAAACGTCCTTCTCACAAAACTGGGATCACCCAAAAATTGGTAGTGACAACCCACCACAGGTGAACAAAATCAATCAAACATGCTCCAACTGGACAGGAAAAAGACCTGATAGTCATGGAACTGCTGGCAAAGATGAACTTGATGTCTAGGCATAGAGCAAAATTTTGAACCCCTACTGGTAAAGAACAGAAGGTTGTAGGACAAGAAACAATTATGGGAGACATCATCAATTATGGGATCAGAATGATACAAACCAGTAACCAAAGACTAAAGGGTCAAATGTGGTCTCACAAATACCACACATGATTCCAAGTTCAGGAAAATCTCCAAAAACAGACCGATGGAAAAAAGAAGCCATCTGTAAGTCATGAAGATAAGTGGAAGGTAAATGAACCTGTGACAAGACAGCATCCTTCCCAATAAGATCCCAACAGCAACAAAACCATGTGTGAAGGGACAGGGCTGAAGAGTACAACCATGCCAATGTGGTGCCAAGGAGGGAAAATATATCCCCCCAACAACCCTTAAGGGGATCAGTGGAATGCCTCAAAAAGGAGGTGTATGTTGGACAAGCACTCAAGAAAAGCTGTAAGGGTAAGTTGAAAGCAGGAAACTGAGCATGGGAGAAATGGATAGGATTTTCAGGAATAGCCCCCACCCCCACCCTACACACACTAGCAAAAGAGACTCCAACTGCTGAGAGACAAGAAAGGGATGATCAGCCTGCTGATATGCCAAAGCATAATGAACATAAGCCCAAGGAGGACAAGGTATGCTAACACCAGTCCTTAACAGAGAAACAAAATGCTCAGCATGAACCCTGATGTCAGGGAAAGGAGGGAAAATAAGGTACTTTAAAGACTGGTGTCATGTAACAACGAAGGGACAACATTGTATGAACTTGTTGAAAACGTGAGGATTGAACACACCTGAGAAAGCATATCTAAAAAGGCAGAGTTAGGCCTAGTAGATTCCTTAGGAGAGGCATGTGAAGGCATGGTATAGTTAGGAGGAGGAAAAAGGCTGTCAAATTCCTCATCATCATGAACAGGTTTGGACAATTCAGTAGGAATCAGAATAATTTTTGGAGAAGAAGGATGACTCATATAACGATCAATCTCCCAACAAATGATAGCCAAAAAAATCCTCATTCAAGACTCCCAGGCCTGAAACCTGTGCAATGGTTGATAAGGGTTAGCAAAATTATGGTTTATAGCATACATGGTTATAACAGGTTCCTAGCAGACTAATATACTCTCTCTCTTTGGCCTTGGTATCTTTATACATGCATGAAATGTTTTATCGAGAGTCCGGACAACGATAGTGGAATATATTTAACCGGTTACAGATGTGGATATATTCACGAATATTGTACAACCTTGGAGAATTGGCAGGAGTTTCCCCATACGTAACTAACACGGTAAGCTAGGCACGTTTTTACATATAAACTCATTCCCAAGAAACGTTGTCATTAAAATAAATACAACAAATTCGTTACACGCAATACATATCTGACACTATATTTTTAAATACAAATTTAATCCAAACAACATTCATATTAAAAATAAATACATAACAATAAATTTGTTACAGCATACAAAGGGCAGCACTGAACTGGAATAGCTATACATGTGAGCAGAGTTGATGTACAGTATCAGAAAATGCCATACATCTGGCTGGTTGATTCTATCACACTTATACAAGATATTACCTTCCATGTAATTGCAGTTTTAAAATTAAGATAAATGAATAAGCTAAATGAAAATAATTATTTAATGTTCACTGTGGTGTGAGTCATCTATTAAATTAGCTTCTAACTTTTAGAGCAATCAAATAATGTTACAGTATGAAATCGTGTTAGCTTAGCACAAAACTGTATAAAGCCAGTAGCTATAAACTTGTAAGTAAATTTTACAATCCTGCTGTTGGATACAAAAGTATAAAGTAGGTTGTAAATCATTTAGTATTTAAGCTTTAACTACATGCAGAATATTAGAAATATTTTGCACTATTTAATCAAAGTATGTTAGACTAATTGTTTAGAGATCACTGTATAATGTTATACAAAAAATAAATTGAAATACATAAATTACAAGATGAAAGCAGAGTAATAAATCTAGAGACAAATATTATGAACAATTGTTTTGATTTATAATATATAATTGTTGATATGTCTAATCAGTAAACTATGCTATATCTGTAATGTTGGAACCAGGCCTAAATGATACCTCTTCATCTTTTCCAACATGTTTAAAACTATAGGTATTCTTTGATCTCTAAAGTGTTGCTATAAATTAAAGCAATTTTTACAAACGGATTTTTGACAAACGTAGAATTATTTAATAAAAATATAACACAATCATTAGTTATACTACTATTTTAATTGCATTTTTTTGAATGATGAAAATAAGAACTATTTCAAAAGACTATTTGCTGATTTTTTATGTTAATATATGATTAAATGTTATTGTAATGTTTAATATTTTGTTAAGATTGTATATGATAAATTGCACAGAGGTTTGTGTGATAATTAATCAGCTGTTGAAGATGTACATAATTATAATAAAAAAGAAGAAAACATATTTAAAAGCTATGTAAATGCAATGTCTAAAGCATTACTTTGCCAAACCTACGTAAACTGATTTCTCTTACAGAGCTTCACCAGATAACAAGCTGTCACACTAAGTCTACTACAGGTTAGAACATCTTAACTAAGAAGTTTAAAAAAAATCTTTTATAGTTACTCCTTGTGTTAGATTGTAACACTATTCATTACTGTTTTGTTTACTAAAAAAATAACTATTACACTACATACATTTGAAGATGGTTGATATTTTTGATGTACTATTTTGAAACATTTTGACTACTTTTTACATTTTTGATGAGAAATTTCAGATCTGCAACAAATTTTATAATAATTACTCTTAGACAGCTTCTGTATTTTTGACAAGAACATAATAGGACTTTTTAATTTTAAACGATATTTGACCATTTTTATAAAATATACCACAAATGTAATTTACTGAACATAAGTAAAATTAATTGAGCTCTACATATAGCTATAGCAATATGCAAAGCAAGTACTTATGTTGGTATTACTCTTACACATAGAGGTTGGGCTAAACAAAGACTATTCATAGTTGAAAGATTGCAATTGTCACTGAGCAAATAAAGTGTATTTCTCATTGTTTTAAAGCAGTTCTATTTAGAGACAAGTAATCAGCTATCTACATGTCAATTTTGTAGTGTACATGTTTTGCATAAACTTTAAAAGTTTATAGCTATTTGAAGGGTTCAAGCCCCCACCAAACCCTTCTGGACATTGCAGGCATGCCCTAAATAATATAACATTGGCTATGCTTATAGCACGTAATAAGTAAATGCTACACACCTCAAGGCCAGAATAACCTGGTGGTTAGGGTATTTTTCTTGTGAGCTGAGGATCACAGATTCAATACATGGTGTCACAGAACATTTGCCCTATCATGGTCAGTAATGAGGATCATTAAAATTATGGTCAGTGCCAGATAGCCTTATCAGTTTTATCATAACTTAAAAATAAGTACAATACTTTTGTGGTTGAATGGGCAGTCATGTTTGATGGTAACACGAATTGAACCAAAAACCTTTGAATCATGAGACAACCACTCTAATTACCAAGCCATTATGGCCCAAAGCTGAACAAACTTGAGTTAAACAAACGTAATACCATGAAATCATAATGACAATATTTCAATTACTTGGATAGTTGGAATAATAAGAAATTACAATCAGAAACCATATACTTAATTAATTGATTATTTCTGTGACATAAATTGATTTAACTGAAATGTTGATTAACCAATTATTTTATTTTATGTGACACTAATCAATGTAATCACTGCTCATGGGCAATTAATTATGAAAATTAATCATCTACCTTTAAAGTTCTATCTAAATATAGATTTTGAGGGATGCAGGGATGTTAACTCCAGAAAACAATACAGTTGACCTACCAGAAAAATAGAAAACAGAGTGTGATATTTTTCAATTTAGGAAACAATACAGCTGACTTAGCTAAAGACAGAAATGAAAGGGATGTAAAACTTTATACCTAACAAACAATATAAGTAAGTTACCAATAGGCACACTTAGAGATGAGAGAGGAAGTAAAACTTTATATGTAGGAAATAAAACATTTTACTTACCCAAAGGCAGACTTGAGAGGGGACAGAAGGGGATGATGAAACAGTCTCTGACTTCTGTTGACAATTTCTGTGATTCCAGGGATCAGCTCCTTGTATTTCATAAATCTATTACTGCTCATCGTGTACATTTTCTCATAGCTGAGTTCAAGTTAAAGTGAATAAGTTTTATAACATTAATAATAGCTTATTCAAAATACTAATAAAGGATTCAGAACAGTTGAATACAAAGTAAAGAAAGTTATACCTACATTTGTTGGAACATGGTGGTTTGGTTGTTGTTATAAAGAAATAGTATAACTTTGTTCCTGACCAAGTAACAAAGATCAAAAGTTTGTATAACATGTAGGAGTTGGTCACTTACTTTAAAGATTAATATGTAACCTGCCTGCAGATGTAATGCTTAGCTACAATTTAAAATATTAAAAAGAAGAATGAATCCAGATCTTATGAAAGTGACAAGAAAACAAGAAGCATTGTTATCTAATTTTTCTAGATTTTGGATTATTGCAATAAAAATCACATAAACTGCAGATATTAGCCAAATTGGTTTCTAATTCTTCACTAGTTTTTGGCATTAAATTGTAACATTCTGTATTATTGATTATTTTAATCTGCAAAATTTATTCCCAGTATATTCTGAACTGCTTTAAAGCTTAAAACTATGAATTGGAGGTAGTTATATATAAAAAAAGATGAGACTTAGAATTTTATAGTCAATGGTTCAAGAATTTGCTTTTCATCTGTTTGAAGTTACTACACTCCATTACATCATTGGAGTCATTTGTTTCTGTGTCTTCTTTCCTTAGAGCAAGTATTAGTTTCCAAAATGGGACAGTTTTGAATTTGTTGAAACAAACACAGTAATGAGTTCTGTTTAGTGAAAAAAGAAAAAAAAATGGGTGAAATTTAAACAAAATACAAAGTTATTTTTAAAACTTCTTATATAATAATTTTTCTTGCAATATGTTGGTAATCTAATAACTAAAGCAGACTTTAGTTTCATCAAATAACAATAATATTATTCAAAAGTTATAGCACCCTAAGTTTACAGATTAATACCATTAGTAAAGAACTAAGATAATAAAAGATACAAATGCATAATGCTTAGACGAGCACAGATAAAATGGAAAAGCTGGCCACACAGATGTCCAACAAACTTCTCTAATACATCCATACCAGACTGAGGGCTGTTACCTACGGCAGAATGACCAACTATTCCAGGTAAATAATTACTGTGTATGCTTCCCGTAGAACTAGATACAGGAGTGCCTACAAGACTGCCAGCAGTTGATGATGGGGAGGCCACAGGAGTTGGAGGTGAGGGACTATAAAATGAAGGAGTGGGTGTTACAGAGGGACTAGAAGAAGGTGTTAATCCCCCAGTACTTCTTTCTTCCAGTCTTCGAAACTCACCACGTAATGTTTCGTATATTGTTTTCAGAGAGCTCTGAAATACAATGGTAATAAAAGTTTTTATCACACTATAGAACCAAAACTTAATTTATGAAAAATAAACTATTATTTCCTTGGCAATAATATAAAAAAAAATTTTAACCACATTTTACCTTAATAATCCAACTGATTCACATAATTTTTCACCAATCTAATGTAACAGTATTATTATTCCTTGTTGTGTGATAGGATTATGAATATACAGCTTTGCTTGCTCATTTGATAAAAAATGTTTGGTGCAACAAAGCTGGCATTTTGGATCTAGTGACTGACCTGTAATTAATTTATTTTTCATACTGTAAAGCAATTAACCAAACACATACATTATAGCAACTGTATTACATAAATTCAAAATAGCTTTATATCAGGAAGATATACCAAAATATGAAATAAAATTTAACTTCAACCTGCTACATTCTCTAAATGAGGAAGACAACAAACTTAGATCTTATTAAATGGCCTGCTTTTCTCTACTCAAGTCATAAATATATTTCAGTCTTTCTAATTTTTAACAGAAACTAATAATTTTTGAAAACACACTCAGAGAATCAGTTGTAAACTTGTATTAGCTGTTACTGATGAATAAATGTATATCTTCTTCATTCTATGTTGAATAATACATCACAAACTTTGTAAGTTTAAGTTTGAGATGTGTAAAAATACTGATGAAGTTACAAACTTACCATTTTGATACATGGATGTATGAAAATTATTATATATATCAAATAATAGCAAGTCTAAAATAAAAAATGAGCTAATGAAAAAAAAGGACATGTTGTAAATACTGAATTGAATAATGTTTTATTGTTTTAGTTATATACACACAAAACTCAATATTATGAAAGAGGAAAATTAATATAAAACAGTCAACACACATCTTTTCGAAGAAACCCTTTTGGCACCAAAAACAACAAGGAAGTGTAATTTTTTTCAATTGCAGCAAACTGAGACAGAGCTGTCAACATGCTGTTTAATATCCAGGTGGTCTGGTGAGCTTTGTGTGCAACATCACGTTCACGTTCCTGAAACAAAATAAAAAATTCTCTTAGAATATTTCTTGCATAAGTAATTAATACAAAAAGAAATAATTGCCATGAATAATTCAGATACACACACACAATTCCAAAAGTTCAAAATGACTAATTACATATTATTCATGGTGAGGTAAAGACTGATACTATTTTATCTATTGCCTTGGTTAAACATGTATTAAAAACTTTTATACTCACAACTTTGTGACATCCTGAATGATATTTCATAACATTTTTACTTTTGCTCATTCTAATAATTATGGAAATCTTCTTTGAAATCTGAATTATATATATATATATATTTTTTCAAATATTTTGTGAGCAGAAGACAGATTTTTACTGGGCTGTGATGATCATAAAATTACATGCTAAAGTAAGTGTTAAATATATATTAACATTCTGATGAGAATTTTTACTTCAATGCAGGCACATTACACTTCCAGTATATATACAAGAAACTGATGAAAAATTACCACAGTTTCTTTTGCCTTGTCATAGGCGAAACAAGCAAGTGAATGGAAATATGATTCCAAAACAGCTTGTTCTTTCATCAAAACATCCTCCATGGAAAGTAAAGTTCCTCTATAAAACAGAATACTATGTTAAACTCCAATAATATAAAATTTGTTATTATTAACTCGTTAAATTTTAAGACGTGAATAAACTTTATAAAGATTTTATTGCATTCTTCATGGTTGCTCATCACTTTGCTTTTAAATTCAATTAATTTTCTTTTTCTCGCAATTACTTATGTAACTGCAACTTTTCAAACAAAACATTCTGTCTTACTTACGCAAAGATTCAACAAATACTGAAATAGGTAGAATTTAAAAATGAAATTGCTTAACATAAAACTCCCACATTTCAGTATCCCAAAATTTAGGCTCCAGATCTACTCTTATTGTATTTATTCTTTTGGTTTTACCTGATTAGATAAGCTGTAATGATGTCTTTTGATAATCTATAAATTAATTCTGCAAATTTACGTAGAACAGCAAATAATACACCTACTATAACTTACAAGCAACGTCTGAAGAATTAACAAATAGTAACAGTAATAACTAGTAATAGTAATATTGATTATGGCACTTCTACTTCTAGTCTACGTTCTACTGTCCCTAGCCTCCAATTGAGTTAACGTATTGAATTTCCCAACAATTGTTAATAATAACAGTGATAACAACTTCTCATCGTTACACTGGCATTGAAAACATATGTTTTAAATTTCCAGATTTGAACTCCTAGAACAATTTATAAGCTTGGTAACACTCATAAAATAAACTGCTAAGCTTTTTGGCAATTGGAACGTGAAACCCTGCCCTCTAGTGTATTAAAACTAAATTTGTATATGAAAAATTGTAATTATGAACAACTACGTAACCTTTCAAAGAAGAAGAGTCATTTTTCTGTTTTTGTCTAAGACCAAAGCATTTTAAGAGCCGCAATATGCCCTAACGGTCTAATTAAAAAAAATAAAAATCCCCGGTGGGACAACGGTAAGTTTTCGGATTTTTTATCGCTAAAATCAGGGGTTCGAAACCCCTTGGTGGACACGGCAGATAGCTGCAGGTTGGTGACTCCTGAACTAGGGGTTAATCTCGTGTTTTGTACACAATACATGCTCTAAAATTATTTGACTACTGAAACAAAAAAACAATGGGTATAGGCGGAATTGAATCCACGAACTCTCGCATGTTATGCCATATGAGCCAAAGTCAAAAGATTTCTTTCTTCACATATTTAGTTTTATAAAGTGGAATACTATATATATGTGAGAAAGTTGTGTGTTTTAAATAAATAAATCCTTCAAATAATATTGTTACTGTATTATGTAGTTGGGCATAAAAAAACAAAAAATTACAAAGTAGAATATGAAGTTGTTGTATTTAGATTTAAAGCAACGAAGCGTAAAAACCTGGAATTACTATAAACGAAATATATCTTTGTATATAACATTTTTGGTATAAACACCTTATCTTTCTGGATAATTGTCATCTTTAACTAAGATTTTGAGAATTTTTTCCTTCATCAAAATCTTGTTGATAAAGCAACGTTATAAAATAGTGAATTTTTTAACTTTTTCAATTCCATAATGATATCTCCTCTTTTTTTACTTTCTCATAAAGTATTAACAAAATGGGGAGTCCATTTCTAGAAATGTGTAATACTGTATTACCCTAGTGGGTAGCTCCCCAGTGGCATAGCGGTATGTCTGCGGACTTACAATGCTAGAATCCGAGTTTCGATACCCATTGTGTTGTTTTGTGCGTAACTTTAAACAAGCAAACCTAGTGGGTAAAACTCGTTCTTCGCGCAAGAAGCGTATTAAACCATTACGCCTAAATGTCAATTTTAGGTGCCTGTGTTGAGATAGATGTAAATGTATAATGGTTGTAAAATAGTGAATTTTTAAACTTATGGTATCAGGAAGTGTAAAAATTAACTGTCGACATGTTTTTTTTTGTTGTAAATTTCTTATGTGTATATGGGTGTAAAAAGCATTTGTATATCATCTGAAACTTGTAATTATTTTCTTTCGCGCAATATGCTAGCTGTAGAACGTCGAAACTGAATGAAGTTTTGGTAATGACTGTAAAGGCTAATCGCCGCAATGGTATTGCGCTATTTATAAACCACGGAAAAGTAAAGAATTAATGTGTTTCCTTACGTTACTGAACGAATCGTATTTAATTTATAAAAGTCGTAGTTTTAAATTATTTTACAGAAATGATCTTAAAACGTGATTCACTTTTATACTCATATAAATGTAAAATCACCACCGTACAATTAGCCAATAGGAATACTGAATTTGATGTGAGCTCGCACGTATACATATACGGATTAATTGACACACACACACTGTTTTTTTTAATTACATGATAATTGAAACTTATAGAATGAAAATTTTTGTTTTCAATAACAAGCTTTGTTGAAGTTGGTATTAAACAAATATATTACATGCAGGTGTAATGAATATGAAAATATATTTGGCAAATAGCATTTATTAAGTAATCCTAATAAGCACAATCTTGATACCCATTTGATAGTGATCTTTTGAGTTGATATCTGATATATGTGTATTGTTGCGTCAGCGAGGTCACGTGACTAGTATCACGCCACTTCTTTCTCGAACCTTCCTGAGATTACTAGATTGGGGGTAGTCGGGTATATATAAGATGGTGACAACGTGACGGGACAATGTGTAGGTAGTGAGTAATTGATCTGCGGTGAGAAAGT